ATGCACAGCTTGGCCGTGCAGCTCCAGCTGCATGGCCAGCTGGATGAGGCGGAGCCACTGTTCCGGGAGGTGTTGGAAAAGCGCTTGGCACTCAGAGCTGTGTGATGCGGTACTGCAGATTTACGATGCTTTGCACTGCGGTGCATCACGAAACCCCTTCAGCCAGCAGGCCTCTCCATGCTGAAATGCCTGTGTTGAAACTTCCGCAGAATCTGCAAATCAACGTGACTGGACTTCGAAGCCATGGCTGCAGAGGGCCACCTTTGAACTTAGCAGAAAATGTTCGGAATCTAAGCGAGATGCTTCACGTGCTAATTTGGGCTCATGGACGGCGGAGAAACCTTTGACAGGAGAATCTTACCTGAAAAACATGTTGAGTTTGCGAGCCGGAAGTAGCTCGGCCCGGAGACGGGCCATCCGAGGCCAAGTGGTGCAGGACGCGAATGAACATGTACCGCACGCTTTCGTTTGTAGGGTCTGATAGGGTTGCCGCGAAGGTAGGAAACACTTGTTGCCACAGCAATGCAACGCTTCTGTTTCCAAACAGCCAAAGCTTCGCTGTTATCTGAAAGGGTGTTTGCCATGCTGCCTCAGAAACTCGGTCTTATCCATTGGATGTTCGATCTCGTTCCAAGGACGGACGAATATGGGGGCCTCCCACCCCGACACAGTCAGCTCCAGAGACTGCTTGTCGGAGCTCCTTCGAGAGGTGTACAACTTGCGAAGGCGCCGGGCCCTCGGTCGGATGCGATCGAACATTGGTATTACTACTATCACTGATCTTACTATTCTTCTTCAGTGCCAACTACTAATTGCTAATTACTTGTTACTTATTGCTAATTAAGCATTACTTTTATAAGTTAAGAGTATGATTAGCTGAGCTATTGGCTATTATATTCCATGGGTAGGCGCCTATCAAGCCAAATCTGGCGTCTTCTTTAAGGTTACTCAGTTCTCAGATTCTGTGGCTGAGCGAATCCTGACGGATGCAGAGCTTCACAAACTGAATCTGCACTTGTAAGAATCGTGTATTTCGCCCTGAGGGCTGATGCACAAGAAGCATGTTACTGATTGCTATGCAGAAAAAGCTCGAAACCAGGCGTCAACCTACGGCGCAGAACCTATTCAATTTATATTAATTCTCGATTGCTAATTACCAACTAATCAACATTTATTGAGAACTATTCACGAATACTACTTAGCCATTAATCATCCATCATTCAGTTCTGATCACTAGTTTGTGTAATATTACCTAGCCGTAAATATTGTTTATTAGCTACTATCTGAACTGTCCTCTATCGTTGCGACGTTCGCGAAAGAATAGTACCAACCATCGTAATAGAAATAATACACAGCTGACTAATGACCAGACAATATCAAAATTAACAATCAGTAATGAAATAATTCGTAGATAGGGCTCTTGCACGACAAGGTCACATTTAACCTTCCGGGCTGCATGAATACAGACCATGGCCAAACCATGTCAAACCATACTGTACCAGCCTTGAATGGTTAGCCCGATCTTGCTGAATGGCTAAATTTCTGGTTACTTCGGGCCGTGTTGCTTCCCATGCAGATGCCATGCACGGCCAGTCCTTGTCCGAGGCCAGGCCGAATTGGGCGACAGCGTGCGAAACTTCACGAGCAGCTTGGCCGCAACTAAACGTCATCCCATTTCTGAAGGTTTAGAGGCCCCAGCCGAGGATTCCGAAGTACCGCGCTTGGGCAGGCAGCGGCGCAGACTCCCGACGAGACACGGGCCAGGTGCTCGGAGCGGCGGCGCAGGCCTATATCACGCAGTTCAGTTGTCTTGTAGACCATCAAATGCTGAATAGGCTGAGTAGTCGTCATGCCTCTGTCCTTCAGTTACTGCTGGGGCGCTAATCAAACGATTTTAATATAAATCGTCCACGGATCATACAAGCTACTGTGTGAGATGATAACAAACTTGATGCCCTTGCAAGTTCGCCCCTCTGAGCTTCCGAGGCGACGATCAGGCGCGCTGGGCGCTCAGAATCGATGCTGAGTCCTTTGCCGTGATAAAACGAGGGACAATTTTGTGAAACACTTTGGTTGATGGGGGTCGTGCTTGCCTCCTGAGCTTCAGTGCTCGACTGGTACCCATGGTGCCTTCCAAGGCGGCACTCTGGAGGATCAGCTGGTGGACAGATTTCTGGATCGCTGGATGCTCAGACATACGACTGAGTCGTTCTGGTCTTTCTTCAAAGAGGGTTCATGTGTGCAGAGGTCGCGGCGACTTGGGGTGGCAACACCCACACACCCAGCAAGCCCTGGAAGAGCTCGCGGGTTTCCTGCGACAAGAGAAGCGGCTCAATGAAGCCGCGCAGCTGTACCGGGACCGTGGACAAGGTTTGTACCGTGGACAAGGTTCGTTACTTAGAGAATCAGAAGAGTCTGCATGCAATAAGTCTCTATTCCAAGACTTGCGGTTGCACAGTGGAGCCTTGGACCGGCGTTCCGTGTTGTTCTCCACAGAAACTTAAATTATTTTAAAGCCGCATGCCTGTGTGGACCTCACCTTACTTCGGTCTGCATGACTTACGTCCTGTTGTCTTATGGCGGTACAGCTCTCCGAACGGATTGCGAGGCCTCCGGCGCAGAGACACAGGTTCCTGCGACATCACAGTCCGCCACAGTGGAAGCGGCGAGGAGATTTGCAAGGTCCGTTGCCAGAAACCGTTGGTCAGACTCTGTACCCAGCATGGAGATATTACCTTGAACATCTCACTAGGACTAGGAGCAGCATTGCAGCATGCTGTGACCATCTAGCCGGACACTGCTCTTTGTCTCGGTGAGGTCGCTTGTGCATATTACGCATGCGTGTCAATGAGGTGAAGTTATCCGCTTCCGTTTTGGTCTCCATGCTGTTGGCGAGCTCACTGGAAGCAGCTGGTGGGGTTCCAAGCGACAGTCTGGCAGCCATCAGCAGTTTACGGTCCTGCCTCACAAATGTGCAAGACACTCAGGGTAGTTTGTTTGAAGTTGATTACACATGCTTCTGCTTGATGTTAATATAGAAACCGAAAAATTACCAATATTATTGTTAGGGTTCCTGGTTATGAATATACTGTAACGGAGCCCAACACCCTAGTCTAGTTATTAAGGCCCCTACATTACCTCCCAAATGCCAACAGCAAAGCTAGCTGCGGTCGTCTTGCGAAACTGCACGGAGGTCGGGAGGACGGGCATCTTCTACTCGAGTCAGAGGCTTCATCACTTTGAAAGTGCGAGTTTTGTACTTCAGAGATATTCAGAGTTGATTTTAAAGGGTTTCGGTTCGGGTCTGGGGTTTAGGCGTTTAAGCTTCATGGTCTTGGGTTGGGGGAATTCCGTTTCAGCTGCAGCATACGTAGGCTGTCAGAACTTGTTTTGCTGTATGCGGCCAACTCTCAAGGATCCGGGAAAGGTGAGCAGAGACGATCTAGTGTTTAGGTTTGCGGTTGAGGGTTGGCTCGGAATTGAGGCGTTCTTGGAATAGCTGCTGTGAGGTCCGGCGTTCTACTGGGTTTCGCGATCGGGATTGACTTTCTGAATTTCTGAATGTAGTAGAGCACAGGCTCGCCAGGTCAAACTGTTGACTCATCCAATCTCCATAGGCGGCCCCATGCCCAGCATTTGGGACATGCTCGCCGAGACGGCTGAAGCCGAGCCGGCCCTTGATCGTTAGCTTTTGATTTTGAACCTGCTCCTGATGCAGAACTCATGTCTGTGAGATTGACTTGACGGTGCGGTGGTGTGGATTGCTACACGGGCCGCAAGCTCTGCATTGGTCTCATGTGAAGTTGTAAAACAGAGGGGTTTCCTGTAGACTAGTCTAGGATGCCCCTAGGGTGGTCCGGCATGTACAGCGATATAAGAAGTAAGATAAGACCAAACAACAACCTTTGAATGTGTGTTGCATGAGTACTATGACTACCGAGTGACACTGCAAACAACCTTCCGTCAATGTGACTGCGCAGTCCTGCGCAGGTGCTAGACGAGAGTGTCAGCGTGGAAACTGCAGGCCGGGTTCCAAACTGTATAAGGCACGTAGATGGCAGCCAGCATGCATCAGACCAATGTCAGAAGATGTTCGGCGCATGTCACGACTTGTAGCCGAATGGACTGCAAGCTGTTGTTGTACAACAGAATGCTACAGGTTCGATTGCACTTCAGGTGTCCAAGAATACGTGGCATGGACGAAGACGCCTTTCATCTTGTAGGATGGCCAAATCACATTTTCCTCCTCGGCGACACAATGCGATCCGACAAATTCCTTTGTCTTGTCATGCAATTACATGCATGAAGGTCTGGGGGGTTTCGGGTCCGTGAGGAAACAGATCACTGACATAGCGGTTTGGTCCTGCGCCCTTTCATAGGAGCATCCCGAAGGTGATCAGCCCTAAGTGTTTCAAGGCCTTCTGCCGCTAGGAAGTTTGAAGGAAGGTTTACAACCTGAGCGTTCCAGTCAGGTGTGTATGGCCGTGCCGAAGTGTTCCTCGTTGTGGTGCGGGAGGCCTCTTGTAACTGGTGTAAGCACAAGCGAGAAGGAACATGCTCTCTGCTATCTGTCTGTGAGAGAGTTTGAAAGAAGAAGGGCCTTAGTAAATACGAGTCTGACTCAGAATTAGTAGGTATCGCAAGTACAGAAACCACATCTGCAAACGATTGCCAAAGTGATTATTGATGCGTGCGCGGAGAATACCACATAAAGAGACAGTCGTGTAGTTGTATGCAGACATGTTGAGGCTGATGGTCCTGTCGAGAGGAAGAAGCAGCTAGAGCGCATACTACGCCGTCGGGAGAAGCACCTGGGGATGAATGATCCGAAAGTAGCGTCTACTCTTCAGCAGCTCGGCAACGTGCTCGAAGAACTCCAGGAGTTTCAGGAGATGGCCAACGTGTTCGGGAGGTGCCTTGAGATCCAGGAAGGGCAGCGTGATATTCCGCCAGCAGAGACTGCCGCGACGCTTTCGAAGCTTGCCGTTGCGAATGGAAAGCTGGGCGACCACAGCAAGGAGGTCAAACTGCTGGAGCTTCGCATGAACATTCAAGAGCAGCGCACTCTGCAAGATGATTCTGCAAGGTCCGACTTAGAAGCTGCGCTGTTCGATCTGGCAGTGGTGTATGGACATCTCGGGGAGTTTAGCAGGAAGGTCCAACTTTTGGAGCGGGGTTTGAAGATGGTGGAGAACGATCTCGGCCTCGAGCATCCAAAGCTGATGCAATTTCTGAAGGAACTCGGATCGGCCTGGCCTAAACCCTAAACCCTAAACCCTAAACCCTGATGCCATGTCTGAAGGAACTCGGATCGGCTTATGGAGACTTGGGCGATGATGCGAGGGAGAAGAGTTTGCTGGAACGCTGTGAGAGCATCCAGGCACAAAGAGAAGGCCCGAGCTTGAGCTATAGGGTTTAGGGTTTGGGGTTTAGGATTTAGGTTTTAGGATTTAGGTTTTAGGTTTTAGGGTTTAGGGTTTAGGTTTTAGGGCTAAAGATATTTGCAAGGGGGCCCTGTGTAGTTAGAACGGGGAGGGAGTTTCGGTCATAATCGAGAACCCCAAGGAGTGCGATGGCCATTTTTCAGTCGCAAAGAGGTTGTATCAGGAGGAGACGTCAGTAAGGATTTGGAAGGAAGGGGGTTTACGGTTAAGGGTTTAGGTGCAGAGGATGGGGATGCCCAAGCCAGTAAGCCGCGTCTGGATTGCTCCTTCCTAAAAACTGGCACGAACACTCTGGCGCAACTGTGTACCCAGACTGTATTCGTGACCACCAGACAAGCCGCAAGTGGATCCCGTGGCTGGAACTTCCCATTCCTTCCGCCATGAGCCAAGTCCCCTGCAGGATTTCAGATGAAGCCTTCGTAATTAATGCTGAGCTTGATAAACCCTACACCCTGACACACTTAACCCTATGTCCCAAAAGCCTAAATCCTGAAACCCTCGAACCCTAACACCCTAAACCTTAAAACACTTAACCCAATGTCCTCGAGGCCTAAGCCCTTAACTCTTTGTCCTAAAGGCCTCAGTCCTAAACCCTCAAAACCTAACACGCTAAACCCCAAAACCCCAAACTCTCCGACTGATAGCCAGGTCGTGGTGCTTCTAGAGCGCATGGTCCGAAGACCCCGATCCAAACAGCAGTCACATATGACAAGGTCGGCTTCGGGACTTCGGGATCGCGGTAACCCCAAAGCTTCTTCATGTTCTATATATATATATGTATATGTATATAGATAGGGTTTAGGGTTTCGGGTTTAGGGGTTAGGGTTTAGCGTTTACATGTGCATATATATATATATATATATATATATATGTGCGTGTGATTACGAATAGCATCCCCTTAGGGCACACTTGTACCTGTACTGTAACATGCCGCAAGACCCCGTTCTGATTGTTTGTTGAGGTCCCTAATTCTGGACTCCCTAATTCTGAACCCTCCTACAAATCCGCTAAAGAAGTAGGTGTGTTGGGTCTTGGCTTTGTGGCTTTGTTGAGGGCTTACCTTTATGTGTTGGGTACTGGCCCTACTCTTAACAGCTTCATACTGGCTTTAACATAGATAGATAGTTAGGTAGATAGATAGTTAGATAGATAGATAGATAGATAGATAAGCAGCTGGATAGATAGATAGACAGATAGACATATAGGACGCCGAATATAAGCTGTTACAGGGTGGGGTGGGGGCAGTACCCAATATACCAGGGATTGCGAGAAGTCAAGTTGTTCAAAGCGTTCCAGATAGCTTTGCCCTTCTTCCTCGTATCTTCCAGTCTCGAAGAAAACTCTTCAAAAGCATTCGGAGCCTTTCAAGACACTGTGCCTCATACGGCCCTCTAAATGTACTATATATTCCGGAATCTATGCCGTATTGGGGCGCGTGCTTCCCAATGAGAGCATGTGTGAAATAGAAGACGATCGAGGAACCCCGTAGCCCTTAAATGGGGAATGTATACGAACTCCTTGCAAAAAGCTCGAGGTGGATGGCTTGGCTGTCACATTGGGCCATCGTGACTTCACACAGATTCGGCAGGGAGTTGTGATGATCGCACGGAGGCATTCCCACGCCAGATTCGCGATTTCTGACTTGGAGGAATGCCCAAAGCTGCCGCCGAACGTGTGTCCTTTGAGCCCTGTCCTGAAGCTTCTGCCCCACGAGACTCGCTTTGACGAGGAGCCTGTACTTCTCATCATCCGTGTCTGCACGGGTGCTCAGGCGGCGTGGCGCTCATCGTCGGATGGCGGTTGGGAGTCGCTTCCGGATGTGAAGTTTTTTCCAGGATATGCCGTGCTGTGGCTGGATCATTTTTGCGAGCTCTTTGTCGGAACTGATGGTACCTGCGCCCCAAAACCCAGAGGAATGCTCGTCCGTGGCTTCGTGGATGGAGCCACAGGGAGGGGCAAATGCGCAGTTCTGCACACCAACTGTCCCTCTTGTACCCATCAGCTAGAGCTGACGTCCGACTACCGCGTGGACCCCGAGGTCCTGAGGGGATTCGACGAAAAAACGGGCCGGCTTTCTGTGCAGGCTCCTACAGCCATGGAGACAGACTCACCATAGCCCAGGCTGAGAATGACCATCAGCATATTACCTTAAACTTCCACAGGCTTCCTCTCGTCACCAGCCGCGTCTTTCAAGCTCAGGGAACCCAGTTCGAGGTGGACATTGCTGACTCGTCCCATGCCTTTCGCCTCTTGACAAGAAGCAGCAGAAGCCAAAACCATTTCTGAGCAGAGCATAAGTTATTTCGGTGACATGTTAGATTCGTGTATCTTCGGTTGCTGTGCCGAGGACTCTGTGATGCTGTCCCGACTGCACCATCGAACCTGCCTCCCCCCGCACCACCGCTGCCACCACCGCCAGCGGAGGGATATGGGATACCGCCGCCACCACCATCGCTGCACGGACAAGAAGATGGAACTTCCTCCGGAATGTCCCTCGAGCAGACTTCGAATCCAGCTTAAGCATGTTAGGCGAAATCCTTGGCGATTGTTTGTCTTTGGTTTACATGTGTTGATAGCCTGCACCTCCAGCTCACACTGCTCGACAGACGCCTGTTTTAGCCACTTCACACACACACACACACACTTCACCCTAGCAGCCCAGTTACCTACGCAGTGGGTGGGTTCAACCTATGTACTATTCCTTTAGGTGCCCACGCTCACATCAGCCTAGGCATCTGTGGCTGCCTGAACATTGCGAAATTGAGGCTGGATCCTGGCCTCACCACAGACATGTATGGGAGGTGTTGGGTGTTATAGGGTTGATTCACAAGGCGTACAAACCGGGTTTAGCGGGCGTTTGGGTTTTAGGGCTGCTGGAGTTTATAGGGCTTTTCTGAGATGGGGCTCAGGGTTTAGTTTTTAGTGTCTAGTGCTTCAACTTCCAGGTTGTTAAATCGTCCAGAGCCCACATTGGGAAAGGTTGCTGTCGCGGTTGTCACTTGTCTTCCGTCATGGTATTGAGTTGACCCCCTGACTCGCGAGGTCTACGTGGCGGAGGAGCCTCGCACCTTCTTGAGCACAGGCATGCCTCGCGCGACTTTGAGCATGCGAACCCTAAAACCTTATGGACTTAGTTCTTTTCAGATTCATGTTACAACCTTGGCGCGAACTTGAGCATGCGACCCTAAAGCCTTATAGACTTATAATGATATGTCCGATTCATTTTACAACCTTGGCCTAAACCCGCCATGAAGCCCTGACCCTAAACCCTAAAC